GATTATACATAAATCATTTTTAATTGAACTGTGAATGATACATTTAAGTAGAAACTTTACGTCATTATCTTATTTTTTTTATAACAGCCTGCTCCAAACTTTGCCCAAAGATAAACAACAACACATATTGTTGGGGCCCATCTCTGTCAGACTGTCAACACCGTAAGTTGTTTTTAAGCTTTTATGTTTTACTTAGTCAACTTAAAACTAAAATGGCATAAATATTATGTATTCTGTGCCTGAAGATGCGTTCATCTTAGAAGATAACAACAAACGATCTTTGCTTTTGAAGCTTGATGTGGTTCTTGCTTTTCACTTAGGTGGAACTGTTATGGACTGTAAAAGCTAAATCCCTGTATATTAACTTCTCTTCTTTTGTTTAGAATCTAAATGTCAAAATTTATTATGTAATCGGTGTTTAAGAATACGAAATTCATATTCATGCTGTCACGAACAATGTCTAGGAGGGTGTACTGGACCTTTAGCTTCACAATGTGTGGTATGTCAATATATTAGAGTATATTTAACTTATGTTTATTATTAAAACATAATATGAAAACTGTATTCATTGGTTGTGTTATTTTAAATCATTTACCAGAAACGGTTATTCTCAGTGGAATTATGATATGCTCATATAATGGGAAACAATGAATATTGATTATAAAGTGACAAGTGATACCGTAAATTTATAACACAAAGACGTTGTGAACAATTTGTGACAGGGGAATATATATACTGAATAAAATCTAAATATTAAATTTATTCATAGTCGGCTTTAGCGGTACATAAACTGTGTACTGAAATCACATTTTGTATTTAACTGAAGAACATAAAGTCAGAGAAAGCATTTTCTTTGATGTGAAATGTAATATGATAGATAAACTATCCTCGGACGTCGATTAGATTTAGTTTGCTTTCTGTAGAATAGTACAGCACCTTTGGAGACGATACAATAATTGTAATCCAAAGAACCTGGTACCAAAGTATAGAGTTGGTTGTCGAAAGAATTATTTGGTCTGGTAAAATAAACTGCTACCGGTAATCTATGTTATAAACTTTAAGCGAATATCTGATTCTTTGGAGCGTTCGTTGTTAGGGGTGGGATAATATACAAATATGTTAGTACTCGTCGTAGTAAAATCTGGTAAGTTATATTCAAATAATACGAGAATCGAACGTCAAGTAATCAACTCTGTCCTGACAACAGCACATTGAAATCTTCTCGAAAGTGCAAGCAGTTTTTCGACGTGAAATTCTTCATGAATATAGAGGTTTAGACCTAATTACCATAAATACACTACAGTATAAATACAAAAATTTCACAATGGTTATAATCGAAAATATTTCAGAATAATGTTAGTAGATAATGAAAGTTTTAACTGAACAGATGAAACGTGGTTAACAGTGCAATCAAGGATGCCCGTTCCCTAATATTTTGAACATTTTAGTTGGATGTACGTACATCTCAGAGTTGATGTTCAGTTCAGGTTTCCAGCCCAGTAACTTACACTGCAAACGCCAACGCGCTATCCACCCTGCTATGAAGTCCGAATTGCCATAAATTTCAGTTCAGTTTATAAGATTAATCAAAATTCACTCAAAAGCATTAACAACCAAATAATCCAAAACTATTATAATCGAATTCTAATTCGTACCTACTACACAACTGAGTGGCTGTTTGAACTCGGTAGCAAAGTGGCTAATGCGTTAGCGTTCGAAGTGTAAGGTATTGTGTTGGAATCCTGAAATGAACATCAACTCTGAGAATGTAGGTACATCCAGTTAAAGGGTTTAAAGTACGACGAAACGCGTCTCTTTCATAGCATTGCTAGTTTCATTCTATCTATTCTATAAAGAATTGTAAAGTGATGGGTACATCAAGTCAGCACTCACAGGAAGCTCATTAGCCAGATAAGACTGATCGAAATTCACTCAACAGTATCAACAACCGGACCGTTCAGAAACATTACAAATTGGAGCGAAATCCTGTGTGTTCGACATTGATGTTATTTCTAAAAGACAGTTTTTAAAATTATATTTTTGATTGAAATCAAGCTACTGCAATATCTTTAAATTCAAAAGACTAAGATGCAAACAGTACTTGATTATTAATGCCAGGCAATACATTTTTAATTTTATTTTAAACGACTCGTCACTACAGTTTTGCATAAATAGTGTTATCTTTGCTCGTTTTAGCTAAACAGCCACACTTCTTATTGTTACCAATTTTTAGGGTTAGAATTAATACAAGGATCTTGATTCAGATATATTAATTGCCATAGACCTTTATCATTTGAATGATGCTTCTTATAAATGGATGGAATTCGGCTTTGTAGATATTTGATTTAACATATATTCGAACCTCAATAACCTTATGAATGTCAGAATCCATCATACGCTTATTTTATTTTGTATTCCCCAAATTACCAACTATACTGTTTCTTTTGATTAAACTGTAGGATCGTAAGTTTTATGAGCAGTATACCTGGATAGAGTAACAATTCAAAAGTAAATCGTTATAACTCTTTGACTCTTTGTGTTTTATATCAGATAACTGATATATAAACCCTCCGTGCACTACTTTTATGTGCACAGTAAAAGTAGTTTTCTATTAAGTGTGCTGATGAAAATTACCGTCTTAGTAAATCAAGAAAGAAAACTATGGATGAATATGTTAACAATATCAGTTTGATGATTAGCAATTATTTTATTCAAATAATTATGTGGATAAGTCAAATTACCAAAAATATGGAATTGCCTTAACTTAGTCTTAGGGATTTTAGGTTTGTCATAATTGGTTGATCATACTAACCTTTTGTTTTTCATAATTATGTGGAATTATATCATACAGCTAAACCTTATGTCTATATTTTCTCTTATTCACTAATTAAATAACAACTGCTGTATTTCTGTAGAATAATATAACAACAATTGCCAAGTATAAAAGAAATCTTAAAATATATATTGTTGAGTTCACTACGCCTGTTTGTTTAAGATGGGAAAGCATCCTAAACATAACATAGAGAAAACAAATTTGAATGTATTTATTTCTTTTCTAAAATTTGTAATTTTCTTCGATCTCAAGTAATGTGTAATTATTATTTCACTTTAACTAAAATATTTTTGTTATCCCTATTGTTTATTGTGAATATTGACTTTATTATTTATACTAGGATACTACAGGCAGTACTTCATGTTGCATAACCTCCATAGGATTGACACATGACATGTTTAAAATAAGCTTCATTTAGTTATCATGTTTTACAACTTTTTGTGTTAATATACTACCTTTTAGATACAGACTATCATTTCTAAATATTTCTGTAATATATATGTAGATAAAACTGCACTGAATTGCTTTTTTATTTTTCTAGTGTTTAAATTCATTAAATTAATAAACAATAAACTATCATCTGCCAATGAACCACTGGATAGCTGACAATAAATTTTATTGACAAACGTAAACGTAAAACATAAGATTGAATAGTTTTAACAGATTACTTTAAGATTTTATACATATGATATAGTCTAATTAGTTACTAAGATGTAAAGTAATTTACTGAAAAACCAATATGAATAAAGTATTCTTACAGGTACATTAGAAAAATAAACTCAGTTATTACGAATACATAACAATTTGAGGTTGTTGAAACACCTGCGATGACTTTATTATGTTTGACTATACCATCCTTTTTGTGGCTAAAATCGAAGTGAATAATTAAATGAATAGTTTCTTCTGGGTACAGAATGGCCTTGAGAAGTGTAAAGTGATTTTGTGCTAGCTTTAATTATGAAATATGTTGTTGATTGATTGTCTTAAAAGAAGCTAAGAACAATTCAGCTTTCGACAGTTAACTGTAAGGTACCAGCAGAGTGGTGATTGTTATTCAGTTAACTCTCTGATTTTTCAGTAGAATGAAATATTTTCTCTTTTCTCGTTGGTCCCTAAAATTTAAAACAGTTCTTACCTGTTCAATTTAGTTCGTTTTGTTGAACTTATTAGCCGTAATATGAACTATAACTTCGGTTACATTTCATCAATTAAAAATGACGATATTCTCTTACCACGGTAAAATAGTCATGTTTTATTTTGATATCTGCTACAAAAATATAAGGTTCCACCAAATGCCTACAGTTCAACGAATGTGAATGTAGGAAGCTCAGTAAACTGGCCTCGTTTATTTACTTTATTCTCAGAGAGATAATTGCGTTAATTTAATTAATATAAATACTTGATTTTTTTAAACAGGACACAATCATATCTTTTTCAGTATGATGAGATTGGTTATGTGTTGATCGGCTTTTCATTATTAGATCTTTTGTCTACGTGTAGGTTTTACACAGACTTGAAAGAAAACTAATTATGCTACACAAATAAAACAACAGAATTTTGCAACCTTAAATGTGATATGTTATCACTATCTGAATCTAATTCTAGTACTTTGATGACTTGTTTCACCGGAAGCGAATACCTGAAAGTTTAAACCAGAGACTTATCCATATTCATGGTAGATGGTCTTATTTCTATGTTGTTTGGCAAGAGTTTTCGAAGTGTCCATGCGAAATATGAGTCGAAGGGTAAGAAGACGAACCTTAATGAATGGACGATAATGAAGAAACCAAGCTGTACATTTTATCGCGTTTTGCTAAAATATCAGACTGGTGATTAAGTATTTTACCGATAAAGAACTCAATGAAGTACTGAAGTGCGTACAAGATATTTATCAAAGGAACCATATAAATTTACAACTAATGGTATGATTCGGTTCGTTTTGTGATGGTATTAATTTGATTAGTTCAGTATATTTACACAACAAGCTATTCATAGCGTTTCAGTAAAAATTGTCTAGCACAACAAGCACTTGGAGTTGTGTGTAGCTTAGAAGAAGAAGTGAATAACTCCCGTGTGTGATAAATAAATATGGATTTAAAAAACCTGTTGTATAACGTAATATTTAAACATGACAAGGCTAAGTAGACTTTCTTTGTAACTAGATACCTTGATCTCAAAGCTTTTTCCCGGTAATTAATTTCACATTCTTAAGTTAGATGAATTCATTGATTTTTATTCTAAATGCCGTTTTGTTACAGAGTTGTAAAGAATATTATAATTCTGGCACATGTGTTGCACACTGTCCATCTAGAACAATAATTCATGAAGGCAAGTTAATTTCGAATCCTGAGTTCAAGTACCGCTTGGGAAATCTATGCTTATCGGTTTGTCCAGGTAGGTTATCGGTATAAACTAATATTACTGTCGGTTTATAATACAATCTTTATTTTACAGCTAGCGATATTTTCTAGATTTCTAACACATTAAACAGCTGTTATACGGAATCCCATAAAAACTTGCTAACATAAATTTGTGCTTTTGGCGACAAAAGAAGTGTGTTTGTTTTTGGTTCCTTCTTGTTATAATCTCTTTCCTTACGGTTATGACCCAGCTATTCCTACTGCTTAATATTCTCGGACACCGATTCACTCGACAAGTCTCCAAATCAGAACACGGTTGAATAGAAAAGAGATTATATTCCAAATAACAAGGTTAGATGGAAGTAAGAAGCATAATAGGGAAAACGTTAGTATATTTATAGTTTTTACATGAGAAGATTCTAGAGTATTCTCCAACTATCGCCTAGTGCTGATTGGATAAGAATTAGTCAATCAGTATGCACCAAAGCAATCGTGCATTGAGCATGCTTTAATCCAGTCTATGTCCCGCTAACACTCCTATATAGTGTTTGGAAGTCCTACAGATACAGAGTCCACCAAATTCGTCTTTACGGGTAATCTTATTAATACTGTATTAAAGATTCATGAAAGGAACTGGATGTGTATGTTTAAATTATCATTCAAAACTATAATATCGTCAATTGAAATACTTACATTTCTACATTCTAAATATTACTTTAGGAATTTTCGCATATTAAATAAGTCATAAATTTGTAAAATCATATTCGGAAATAACTTTATGTATGTTCGAAACGACAATGCACTGTCACTCTACGTAGTTTAGTTATAAAAATTAAGCCTAAGAAAACCTATTTTGTATATAATTTGTTAGAAATCTAACTACAACACGAACTGCTTGAAAAAAAACAAGTATTACAAAAGTACTTCTAGATGTTATTGCGACCTAACAAAACTGTTCACGGAAATATTACGTCGGCACTATAGTATTTGGTGAGATAACTAGTCGGGAATCGTACGGACCTATGAGTTACGTAAGTCTTTACTGCCTTAAAGGTCCTAGCCAGCATTAAACTAATATTTATACAGTTTTACTAAAACGTGAGGATGCAACTGCAGGTCACCATTTACCATAAACTATAGGAACACACCTGAAGAGCTGCTAGGTGTTGAAATATATTTCTCAAAGTCCTAGTGATCAGTAAAAGCAATCAAGTTGGAATGTGACAGAAACTAACTGATGAGATTTGTTAAAGATCGTGAATGATTTGGGATGAACAATATGAAACATTAGATTGTAACCCAGAAATTTAAGGGTATTGTTATATCCAAACGAAGAATAGATGAATGGTAACTGTTAGAAATTGTTTATGGAATATTATTACAAATATTCTTATTGCATAATTATCAAGTAACTAGATTATATATATAAATATATCCCTTTTATCATAAGCTTTCATTTGATTTATTGGCTACTATTATACGATTTACTATTCTTCATTTATTCCTAATCTGTTAGTTATAGTCTCCTATATACACAGTCCCTTTAAGCTTGATCTTGAACAATTATTATTTTTCATTTCATGGTGTGAATGAGGTTTGGTCTGCTTGTATATCAACAACGTATATCTGAAATATATTATTCATACAGTGGAGGCGGATATTGTGTTCTGGATTCAACGCGCAGGACTAGGCAGGGAGCTTCTATGTCAAGGGCCAATAAGGGTTCAGAGTTGTCTCAAGGCTGCTGGTGATATTTGACATGCCTTTGGTTTAGAACATGAACATGGTCATAGAAGTCGGTATTCTGGTTAACGATTTAGTCACATAATATTTGTCGGGCTATAGGACAAAACAGGTACCTTACTCCGTAAGATTTTGAATGAACCGTATTAAATTCCACATAGCGTCAAGACTGTGCACCTTTGAAAAGTGCTTGTCATGATGAAAGTAGTGTCTATTGCATTCTAGTTATTGATGTTTCTTCAGTTGGTGTCTGATCATAGAAAACGTTCTGTTTGCACAAGAAAAAATGTTGTTCATGTGAACAGTAGAAGTGCTTTTCAAACCATCATATGCCATACGCAAATGGAATAGTCAAATATCTGCACTGACAAATTATTTTAGGACATTGGCTTTTAATTTGGATCGTCATAGGACAAAGAATAAGTAATTGGCAAACTTATTTGAAAATCAACTAGATGTAACATAGCCCAAATCATTCGTCAGGTTTGTTCATTGTTTAATTAGTGTTCAAGAACTTCAGACCTAAGATAGCTGTTCCACAGAATGCACTCACTTCGGGTTAGTATGACGTTCACCAGTGAAACAACGCTTCGTAAATCATGTCACGCTGTTCGGAAAGGATTTTCCACTACTTTAAATTTTTCTTGTGATTTATTCTAAAATACTGGAAACCATGATCATGACATAATGTTCAGCACTAACTACTGTGAAATAACACTTCACGGAAACGAAGTTGCATAATCTTCAAAGTCGAACATTTTGTTGCCCGTTTAGTATTGGCGTTTACGTTGTGGGTTGATTTCCAGCGCTCTTTCGTGGATTTGTTTTGATTGCAGTCCTGACGTCAAGTTTCGAAAGAATTTAGCATTTTCTGTTTAAAAATAAGCAGCATGTATTTTGAATTTAAATTCAAAATGCTCGATATATTTTCATCCAAAACACAGACTACTTTCTGTTTATTTAATTTTGGTTTCCAGATGGATTCATGGTTGAAGGTGATGTATGTGTGACTCATTGCTCTACAGGTAGTATGAGTACAGATGGACGTGTATGTCTTCCATGTCAAGATAAATGTCCAAAATGTCAGTTTTTTTATTTTTTTGTAGTATTTTTATAAACAAATACTATTTTACAAATGTATATTCGATGAATTAGTACCATTCACCTTCAAATAGAATGTTTGTTTATTTACAGTGGACACTATTTGTTTTTGAAATGGATTATTTGGTCATTTACATGTCATAAAAGATTAATTGAAATTAAAGTTAATAAATGATCACAAAATACTAGGATTAATGCTTAATTACTTGGCTTAAAGAGACTTGAATTTAGCGAATGAAGCATTAGAAACTAGAAGGTATTCCGTGGTAATCACTGTGTCTTTAAGTAGTATAGTTCTATCCTGGAAACAAATTTAAAAAAAACTTTCTGAATGCACAATCATTTACTCCAAATGGTAATATTGTGAACAGTTTGAGGTGACGCTTAAAGACTCAGAATGGAAGTATGATTTATTTCAATTAGACTTCAAGAAAACATACCAAGCATACTACACGTTTCGTCCAAAATCCAATATTACAAATTTAAATGGAAAGAAAACTTAACGACGTTCTTTGACTTTAACATATTCCCTAGAAACATTAAGAATACAAAATAAATTAGACGAACAAGTCACAGTTGATAAATAGCTGAACTAAAAATCTGCATCAAAATTTACGGAACAAATAGAGTGAGAACACTTCTCAGATAGCGTATAACCAATCAAAAGATTTAAATCCATCAATATTTAAAAAGGTTGTTAAAATTTAAATCTGCTTATCATTAAACGGATTCTAAATCAACTTGAGAAGATAAACCAAAAATATGGCCCTCATGATTCATATAGTTTACATAGCGTAATGAAATATTAGTATACCACTGAATAGGCTTGTGTGTGCAGTTATATTGATATAATAAGTGATGCTAACTCCTAAATGTGTTATAGTACATGGTTAACATTCACTCTTTATTTTCCATTACATTTGTAAATTTCCTTTATCATAAAATATATATATTTGCATTGTACATCCATGAATCCACACTAATGTTTTATCGAATATGGAGAAAATCCGTCTTGATTTTGTAACGGTCATTTAAATTAATCAACCAAAATTTACATTTTACATTTATATATTTTCCACTATGCATGGTATAACAACCACGATAAAAACATTTTTTTTCTTGAAATTTCAACGCCTACAGCTGGATTTAGTAGTTACGAATACTATATGTGTGCCACCCAGCGTACTGCTACAATCCTGTATTTAGCATATGAGCAAACACTTTCTAAACGATAACTAAGTCGTATCAATAGAAGTTAAAACAAACTAAATACATTGCGCTTTGCTGAGGAGTCCTACAGTAGGACGAATCGGCCGTCCAGTCCGTCCAGGTATTCCATGGTGGTCTAGCTAATGAAACTTATCACAGCCAGACTCAAAACTATGACACGTATCAAAACTTATTTCGAATGTTTCAAGAAATATCTGTTATCAGTATGGGGTTGTGGAGATTGTTGAGTTTCACAGAAACCATGAACAGATCAATGTTAGATCACCATTGATAACCTGGAAGCACTGGATGGCCGTTTCGTCCTAGTATGGTCTAAACTTTAAGCGCTCGCGCGTTAAGCCGTTGTTTTGATTCCCGCATGCGGGGTCGTCCATGCTCACTGCTGTATAGTCTCATACTAGGACGAAACGGCCATCCACTTCTGCTAAGTTTTTAATGATGATGTCAGTCAAATAAAGTGAGGCAATTAACGGTAATGCCGACTGAAATATTACTTTGTCTAACAGTTATTTTCTATAACCCATTAGAATTCCATCCGTACTGACAATGAAGTCCATAAGCATTTGTTTATAAATATCAGTTTTGAATTTTGTTAGTATAATTTAAAGTTCATCTTTAAGAAATAATGACTATTATTGCACAATTTATATATAAATTCACGCATCTCGTTCATTAACGCATTGTCTTCATTTTCCTATTAAGCCTGTAAAATCACTGATAAGGAAACGAAAAATGGACGTAAAATGAGTAATTTTGATTTAAGAAATTTAAATCAATTAGTTAACTGTACTATACTAGAAGGTAATTTGATCCTAACAAAAGAATCATTTAATCCAAGGTTGGTTATTGTCTTCTTGTGTTGATTTCATGTTATTTTATTTAAAAGAAATAAAACTGTCAGTGCTTATGTAGACCATTTGAAGGTACGTAGATGGGTGATCTAGACGATTATTGTGAACATAGATCCAATCTAATTGCCGTAGTATTTTTTCTGTCTGACAAATCCTAAACAGTACTGTGAATACGTTAGTAACGTAGAATATAGGTGGAATTTCCTATTTATTTTAAAACGAAAATACTAGGCATAGGTTTGTATTAGATTATAGTCGTGATAGTGGAAGAATACGATTAAATTTAACCAATAATCTTCCTACGTTTTAGACTAAACCTTAGTGAGCACTAAATTCGGTAGAACATTAAATCAGCTAAAAAAATGGGACACTGGTTTGGCTATTTTAGTCTAAAGATGCCACATACTTGCCTCAGAAATGACCTAAAAGTAAATGAATTAATTCTAGTTAGAGAGTTTATGGAAAAATGGGAGTTTTTAGACAAAGAGATGGAGACAAACTATATGTTGGTGACATGAGCTACAGAACACAAATAAAAAATGACTTCAGGTTTTATTTTACGCCTACTGGTCGAAAAGTTACTATTTATTAAGCTCTACATTATCTCGCTGTTGATATCTAGAGCTGGATTTTAGCAAGTCTCTTATGACAAAAGTCCATCCTGATCCTTATTACGATTTTTAGCGTATATGGAATATGGCTACCATACTCGTTAAGCGAATTAAAGACAGGTTGAACTCTGTAGTTAAGTGGGCGATGCGTCAGGATTTAGAAACATCAGTGTGCCTACTTACACCAGAATGTATGTACGTTCAACTACCGAGTTCCGAATGAAATAAAACGGATAACTTAGATTCCTAATAATAGCCACCCTCCGAATATACGAACGAAACTTTGTTCTGAAACTTGAAAGTTATTCTCAAACTGACCTTCGTGCAAATGCAAAGAAAATAGTGAAATTCTCTGATTATCAGCACCAACTAAACAGGTAATAATTTCAGTTACATAATTTTCTTAGGAAATTTGAAGTTCAAACATTTGTTCACTTCCACTGACTTTTCGTAGACGTGAAATATTTCATATACCAGCTTTAAATGTAAATCTATTCTGTTGTTTGCAAATTTTCATGCTCTCATAGGACTTAATTATAGTGCTTGATTAGAGTAATCGGAGCTTGGAACTACTACTACTACTACTACTGCAAATTTCTGTTCTCCATAAAACAAACTACGAAACTCCATGATGATTACTTCAAAGAAAACGATAACTCAAGTACCTGGTTACAATGCATCAAAAATAATTAGGCTTAAAACATTTAAGAAAAGTTTCTTATTTCTGCAAAGTTTAGGTAAAATAGATCATGTATTCTAATCATTTTGATCTCTTTTCTTAAACTGTTACACAGAAATATGTGATATTTTTAAATCTACAGAAATTTTCATACTTAATACAGTTCTGCATTCCAATGAATCGAAATATGTACACTTGCCTCGTTTAAATGATTAATACTATAGTTATAAGTTGTAAACAACTAAGGAGAATCCATGAAATAAATGAATCTATATTATTCTGGTACGAAATTTGTTCTTTCTTTATCCAAGTTTATAAATGAGAAAAACTATATGAAGAAGTGTTGAGTCTGAAATTACAATAAACGACTTATAATATTTAAGAATAACAAAATTTTTGAAATGGATTTTTTGCATTATACATCGCGATAAGTAGACTACTTTGAGAACCATAAATTATGTCGTTAAATGTCTATAAATAGTATCAAATTGTACTGATTACTTATGGGTTTAGTTAATATACTTTGTGAACATGTTGGTAAGTGTTGAAAAGTTTGAAACAGCAAATGGCTGTCATTATATTATTCCCAGATATTTCTTGTTTTATTTTCTTAGTTCTGATCTAACCGATCATATCCCAATCACAGATCATCGTCAATTATGGGCTTTACATTCATTAAGAGAAATAACTGGTTATATATATTTAGATTTGGAATTACTTGGAGATAGTCTGAGAAATCTTAGTTTTCTTGAAAATCTTGTGAAAGTCAGTGGTTATCGTAAGTTCATTTACATATTTCATCTAAACATATCCCTTCGAAACATATATTTTAAATGGTGGAGATTTGTAGCTCAGGTGGATGATTTTTGTGTTCTCTGTGCTGGATGGTTTGTTCATACAGCTTTCATTTATCTAATACCTAGTTTCTTTTAGAAATCGTCATAAATAGTGTCTAAAACCTTATTTCCTAAATCATTAGGTCATGTACGAACTATGGTTTGGCACAGATTTGTATCACTCTGTAACGTGTTAGCTTGGTTACATAATCCATAGCACCATTGTTTCAAGGATTCTGCCAATCTTTCCATATTTAACATCTCTATATGTAACTACATACTTCGCTATCAAATGAACAAATAGAAAGATTCGTTCGTACCTTAAGATGAGAAACTGTGTAGACATCGAGAAATGTACAACTGAAGAAGTCATCTAACAATTCCTTCCCGTACATTGAGGCACACCAAACCCAGGTGGAATTGTGGAGGTTTGGTGAATGGATTTTCTGATGGGTCAGAATCTAAAAACGGAACTTGATGTTGTGGACCAGACACTTTATAAGCGCTTTATGTTTCATGTACCACTTTATGATTGCTATTGCTTTTCTTATCATTATTATGACTATCAGTCAAACGTAACATTCATAAATATGAATCACACAATTAAACAGAATGCTTCGTTTACTATTTATCAAGGCAGAACAAGTAATCGCATCTTACGTTTCAGAAATTGGGTGACCGATCTCAAAAGTACTTTTTTCAAACAATAATATTTGCAAAGATAACTGAATTTCATTGTTCGTCAGTGTTCTTGTGAATTATCTCAAGTAGATAATAAAGTAAATTAGTCTTGCTGAGTTATACTACTCTTCACTATAAAAGTAGTGTTTTCTCGTTATACTTTCTTGTAAGTGAAAAACGAAGAAAATTGTTTAAACCAAGGTTTCGCTACTTCATGCTAATAGGTTCATCAAAGTAATGATGGTTTTAGCTGTTTTTCTCTCACTGTATGACATAAATTTCTGTCAGTCATAAATATTATTTACCCAACACGCAGATTTCCAAGCTATTAAATATGAACTCGGTTCGGACACATAATCGTATGTCTTCGTTTTAAGAAGTTTGGTAAAGTGTTTATTACAGACATGGCAACCGTATAGTGAGGATAAAAACTCCCAACACACACTCAGCAAGCCCTTTAGGATTTCGTTTATCAGTCTAATAAGTAAATTATATAGATGCACGAACTTTTCTACCTCTCTGTTCTATTTATATTCCAGTACCTTCTGCACGAGTGAGTATAATGATTATAAACAGTAAGGCTCATTTTCCTGGATTAAGAAGCCTTCGACAGGTTCCACATGGAAGAGTTATATTCCATCAAAACCCCAACTTGTGTTATTTATCCTCACTGCCTTGGACTAATTCAGGTAAATTTGGACCATGGGTTTTTATGGTTTCATGGCATTAATTAGCTTTAAGAAATGGTTAGAAATAAGTTTGCTTACATATAGGAATGATATATTGCGTCGTTAAATCATGAAAACCATTAACGAGAGGTTATTTTGGTAATGATCAGTGATAATTGATAACTTTCCTTAAGATATCAATTAGTCACTTTCATCACTATTCAACGTAAATAATTAATTGAATGGGTTGTACTATTAATTTCTGAAACCCACCTACCTCGAAGAAAGGCTGATTATCACAGCTTTTTACATTTGCGAAACCCTTTTACGTATTTCTGGTTTCTTATATTGTTTCTTGAAAATGATTAAGTTTTCATTTCACTTATTTGGATTAATCAAACTAAAGACGAATAAGTTAGCGACTTAACAATTGTCGATACCACAAAATCCTTTGGTTCAAATTAATATTACAGATTGAAACTAAACTGGAATCATATGATCATATGAGCATCCTGAAATCATCATCTTTTTCACAGAATTACATTCATAAATAGGTTTAGTAAAATTGGCAAGTCATAATGTATCCATAGTTCATATTTTTAAGAATTTAGTGTTTCCTTTTGTTTATGAATATTTGTACGGTCTAAGATTAAGGAATTAGAATGGTTTACATAATTTAATTAGACTGAATGATCTTTAGAAATAATACTGGTATATGACCTAGTTATTTTATGCGTACATTCCGCTTGATATTCAGTCAGTCAGTCAGCTACAACGTAGGACCAGGCACATATATGCATCCGTCCAATTTGTCATAGCTCATTAACACAACAAGATGGACACCGGATTCATAGGAATAGTTAAGTCAATGGTGGTAGCATATAAAAGAAAGACTGCATATAAGGATATAGTACAAGAAGAAAGATTTAGTATGTAGAAAGAAATGAAGCTATTTTAATCTCTTAGTTTAAGGGAAGACAGAGAGTGTATGCACCTACGCCATGTCACCCAGAGTCTCCAACAATTGGTTACGATAGTCACGTGGACCCCAACCACGTAGTCTGCATCTACCAACATGGTTCAGATCAGATGATAGTGTCTTCAAGCACTGATGCCACGTTTTGGTTTGACCGCCCCTAACTTTCTTCCAACCATCCCGAACACCGGTTAGTATTGCACGTCGTGGTAATCGGTGTTCAGGCATACGCAAGACGTGGCCCAATCATCTCAGTAGATGAAGATTCACATTCTCATCAACTGATTTACCATCGTTCCCTAATACCCTGCGCCTAACTTCACTATTACTTACCCAGTGATCCCAGCATATATGAGCAATTTTTCTAAGGTATCTGTGGTCAAATACTAGTAGTTTACGACTGTCTTCTACTCTTAATGGCCATGTTTTGCTGCCGTAAATTAAAACAGAACGAACTGCCGCGCAGTATACTCGTCCTTTTATTGATAGACGGATATCTCTCCTTCGCCATAGGTGACGCAAGTTGGCAAAAGCCAATCGAGCTTTTCGAATCCGTGTTGAGATTTCGTCAGACAACAACCCATTAGGGCTGATCAGACTTCCAAGATAAGTGAAGTTGTCAACGCGTTCGACTACTTCACTCCCTATCCTTAGTTCAGATGCTGAAGCAGGCCAGTTCTGAAGCAACAACTTGCATTTAGAGGGAGAGAGGCGCATTCCAAACATTCTGGCATTGTTGCTCAGTACTACTAAAAGATTTTGCATTTTATCAGCGTCTTCACCAAACAGGACTATATCATCTGCGTATTCTAAGTCGATAAGTGGACCTCCTGGAAGGAGATCAATACCCGAGAATTCAGTCAACGAGAACGTTATTTTCATCAGTAGGTCTATGATGAAGTTAAACAAAAATGGAGAAAGTGGACAGCCTTGACGGACACCAATCAAGGTTGCAAAATCAGATGACAGTTCACCATAAGCTCTCACTCGACTAGTAGTGTTCGAGTAAAGAGCCTTCACAAGGTTTATGTACTTCTGAGGTACGCTTTTCAATGACAGACACTGCCAAAGAATCTCGCGGTCTACCGAGCCAAATGCTGCTTTTAAGTAAAGAAAGACCACCATTGTCGGACGCCGATAAGTATGCCTATGTTCTAGAACCTGACGAATGGTGAATATGTGGTCGGTGCTAGACAATGTCTCTCCTTATGCTTAAAATTTGTGTTTACTAAAATTAAACGATTGTCTGAGCACAATTGCAGCAGACGGTCACCATTATCTATTCGCGGTGCCGGAATACCAAAATACCCACATAAATGCCTTTCTGTTTGGTTTAGGCAACCTACTTGGGCATTAAAGTCGCCTGCTACGAGTAGTGTGTCTGAACGTTTAGCTTTCTGAAGAAGTTCAGAGAGCTTTCTGTAAAGTTCATTTTTCACTTCATCTGAGCTAAAGTCAAAGGGGGACGTAGGCAGAAACGACAAAAAGGTAAAGACGTGTGTTCCTGTCCTTTCGAGTTCTTACGGAGCCGTTTAGACGAACAGCGCATAAACGACTGTTAACGGGAATCCATTTTAAAAGTGCTTGTTCTGCCCTCATGCTTAGTGCTATGCTTACAACTGCCAGTTCATGAGAACTGGCCATCGGGTCGCCAGATACACGGAGGGTGTATCTCGTTGGGTCTCCGTTTTGTCGAGGTGAGGTCAAATGAATTACCACACTAGGATTCTGTATTCGTGTTTCGGAGACACAGCATACATCAATGGTACGAGATTCTAGGGTTTTAGCCAAGGAGGCCCGGTGAATGGTTTGACATAGAGTGCGTACGTTGAAGGCTCCAATGTGTAGTTTGCAGCGAGGTTTCAGTAGACCTGGGACAAGGTTTTGCTCACTAGAATCGTTGGCTAGGTGGGCATTTTTAGGGTCGTCCTTTTCTAACCCCACCCCTCCTTGTTGGATTTGTTGCTTTTAGTCTTACCGCCCTTCTACCGACCTGTCTGATATGGTCGGACCTAGAGGAACGTTTGTTCCAGCCAGTATAGCTCGGTTGCTTCGTCACGATAGGCAAGTCCGACCACCACGTCAAGGTAGCAACAACGCTCGGGAGCTTGATATTGATCTGGAGCAACACGTTTTACAGCATGCCAACTTAGATTTATATTGCAAGTAAAGTATATTCAGATAACATTAAACAAGAGGATTTGGGGATTCGTATGTTTCACTAGGATTAGCATTTGTAGTACTTTATCCTCAGAGTTTCTGATAAATATAAGTTGAATTTTCAAAATCACTTGAGTACTAAACGTACAAAACCTGTCTATCTCCAATCTATCTTAGGAAATCTCTGCCTGTGATTAAAACTTTAAACCGTAGACCTCTTAACATAAATACCATTACACTCAGCTAATAATTTGGTGCTTACTTAATGAGGTCATGACTTATATTAACGATCAAATATCACTTACATTTATGTAATAATCTTTGTTGAGTATATTTACAGCTAAAATAAAAAGCTCACACAATATGAGTTAGGTATACATGATAATAATATGTGACGGGATTATTGTCATTATTGTATGGGTTAAATTATATTCTAGAAGTGAGTCAATAAGAATAGAGAAAATTATTTCCGTGTTTTTAAGCCAAATTCACAAAGGAGTAAACTATCTTACATCACAAAAAGTGTTGAATAAAATAAATCTGTATAGGGCTCAGAATGTTTAAAAATTGAAAGAACAATCTTATTATAATATAGTCAAAATGACAATGCTCAACTGTCAGATGCTCACCTTTTTCTATTTATATCTTAAATATGACTTAAAAACTGAATTCGTTCTTACAGTAAAACGCCAAATAAATCAAAATATTAATGGTGAATCGAATAATAGGTGAGCTGCAAACTAGCGATGGTAGATTGGCTAACGAATTTCATGCATGGCTTACGCATATAATTATCTTATAACTTCATCTCCTTTACTCTTTAACGAGATAAGTAACATTAATTTTGTTGGCGATGGTGAGGTTTCTATGGAACTATTCATGGATATGAGAAGGATATAAAAAATGATATATTTGCAACCTGGTTGATGAAATAATGTCTTGAATCACTAATAGACCTCTTCAAACCAATTACTGGACTGTGACAAATTTCATTACTTCTGTTGTAAAGTATTGTTGATATATACAGACTCTGTTCAGTGGCTGAAAATGGGTTCAAAATGTCGAAATCATCTTAACTTTTTTATTTGCTCCTCTCCGTATTATAGTATCACCATTATATATAACAAAAAGGATTTAAAATTCCATGGTAACAAAGAAAGTCAAACAAATTATCCAAAACCTCTATTCATAAAGTACCTTTAATTATTTCATGAAATACCTGAACTTGAAATTGCATGTATTCTAATTTTACTGCACTCATTGTAACGCTCATATTTCTTCCTTTTCAGCACACTCAAGTATCTTTAGCACACTGAATCAAACAAATTCGATGGAAATTACTGTTATTGATGGTCCAAGTGACAACTATTGTGGTAAGATCATTTTGATACGAATAAATTATGCCTCACATTCATTGTCCTTGTGATTAACACAATTTGATTTTTAAAATTTTATGTTCACATTTGTTAAATTTGTTATGACTGATTCGTTGAATTATTACGTTAAAACTTATTGTATGCTTCATGTTACGTGAATTTAGAAAAGAACCCAGAGAATACTGTCAAATGCCGACTTCCTTGACATATGAAATCTTTGCTTTTCTGATTTGAAGATTGTGTTTGTGTAATAACTAAATAATCTTTGTCGGTTCAGGATGGGTGGTTCAAGATATTACTGGTGACTAAACTTCTTGAGACCCTTTGTAAGACCCTTACTCGATTGAATTATTAGTCACTGAGACATTTAGTTCTAACCACATATACATTGTGTCATAGTCCATAACGTATTGAGAGGCAGTCTATTATCCTGCAAATTAAACGTTTCATTAAGTTCAAGGAACAGGATTCAAACAATAATGGGAAAAGATTTTTGCATTCCCTATATATATATATATATATATATATATATATATATATATATATATATATATATATATATATATATATATAATCATAGTTTGTGTGGACCATGGTACTCTTTTTAGTCATTGATAATATAATTAAATCAAACTAAGAAGCAGTTACCTATTAGTTTGCAAACTTTAATAATCTAACTGAATTTCCCGATTTATAAGGTGGATAATTAAAACGTAAATTTGTTATTTCTGAAGATACATTACTAAAAAATATAAATGTAATCAACTATTGATTCTAACAAATTATTAATTTATTACTTCAGTTTAATATGATCAAGTTTTAGTGTTATTGATTGTTGATAAGTGTCCAAATTATGCGCACTGATGGTGTGGGGAAAACTTAGTAAATGAAGTTACGGACATTTAAAATGCACTTATCTCTTCGGTTACTATGTATCTATGTTTATTATTATCATTTATTTGGGCTTATAAACATTAGTTTAAGGGTGCACCAATAAGAATGCGGTTGTTAAGGGATAGAGAATGAAGGTTGAGTATAATAAAAGAGCGACAATGAACATAAATTGGTTTATAGGAGTGATATAATATTAACAATAATGGAAGAAGCAGTTCAGTCGGGAAAAATGCAACCAGAGAGAATTCTTTCATTTAAAGAAATGACTCGCACTTTTGTGAAGAAAGTTACAGCAGGATCGCCACTTCTATTCTGAGCCATTTATGATAACGTCTCTAACCACTGTCCTGGACTATCTCTAGGACTCCAACCAGGGAGTGGTAAAAGACCAAAACATCACAGTCATGTACAGCTTTCTTTCATACCATGACACTATTTCATTACTGACCACCTCTCCGCTTTTTCAAACAGTCCCAGTGTCGGCAAATGATGCATGATGTGAAATTTTATCGGACGACATTCGTAGGATATGCCCGAGCCACCAAAGTCGGTGTTTCAAGATGGTGTCCGAACACATGTTTTCGAACCTCCTCATTACTAGCATGGTGTTGTCACTCGATGTCAGCAATCCTTCAGAGACAATGGTGATCAAACACAGAGTCATCCAACATCAACTCAGAGAGGCTAGGCTTCACAAGCATATAGCAAAACTACTTTCACCTACGCGTTGTAAATCCGAACTTTTACAGCCAGGCTAACATAACAAAGGCGCCAAACATGACCTAGATTGGTATAAGACACTCTGGCTTTTACTATAGATGAATTGGTCTCATTACTCATGTCACCACCAGCACTTACAAAACTACTCATATACACGAACTTCTCAACTACTTCTAACTGCTCACTACCAAGAGTGAGTGTAGGCATCGAGTCCTGTTAGTCTTGTCAGAGTACTCTGGACTTGGAAGGTGCAAATCAAATGCCATAACTACGGACACTGATTGGCAACTGACTAAGTGTGGATTGGATAGTTTGGGTATCATCGCACAGTAAGACAATGTCATCAGGATACTCAAGGTCAGAAAGTTTTTCTCCACGCAACAGATCCTCACCACCATTACCTACATCCATCAAAGCTGTTTCTAGAACGTCATTGATGGCAAAGTTGAAGAGGAATTGTGAAAATGTGAAACCCGGCTTAACCCCACTACTTGAATGGGACAGTGGATGAGGGTGGTCGTATGTTTTCATTCTGCATGACGTGTTAGCATATAGAGCCTTCAATATGTTAACAGACTTCTCAAGCACATTCTTTTTCAATAGACAATCCTAGAAACAATTCTATCTAATGAATCAAAGCAGGACCTGATCTTAAGAAACACAACGATTTTTAGCTTTCAATAAGTATGGAAGTCTTATAACATTTAGAGGAGAGTGAAGATATCATCAAAGCGCCATCAACCAGACATAGAAAACAAACTTGCCCCTCGCGAGTCAGTCCTCCAGGGTTTTGAACAATCTGCGAAATATGGCAGAGGCTAATAGTTTGGACGCGATCAGAAGTAGACTTATACCCTGATAATTGTTGCAAAAATGACGTGAACTCTTTTTAGAGTTAGAGATAACTACTGACTGATTTCACGAGGTTGGAACACTCTCTAATTGCCAGATATTTGTAACCAACTCAGTCAGCTCCTTAATCAGAAGGTCAGCTCCATTAATAAGAAATCTCGGTGTTAAGTCATCTAGACCTAGTGACTTGTGGCGCTTCAAGTGTTGGGGCTCCTTGCGGACTTCCGTCACATTAGGTGCATCAGTTGTCATCGGCCATGGAGAGCAGGGCAGTCTGATCGATTTAGCCGGGGCAACATGCTAATTGAACTGCTCCTAGAAAAACTCGAAACATCGACCAAGACATCGGTAGACGTTAGTGATTGTCATCCCAATGGCTTCACAGATTGTTTCATTCATACCAGACATCTTTCTGCCAGTGAGTCGGATGAGTTGACAGAGCTTCCGGAAGCGGCTGCTGTTTCTAAATCGTTAGCACGTCGCAACCACCAGGCTTCTCCGTCCTTACGCTAGCTTTGCACAATTTCATTACGTCACAAGCTTCGTTTATAATCAAACTCGCAGTCACCCGGAGTTTATGTTCATTCTATGTAACTCTTGTAGTGTACTATTCTGTAAGGAATATATTAAAATCTCGTAAGGCAGAGAAGGATTCAAGAGGTTGCTGTTACAAATAAATGTTGGTTGAAATCAAGTAAAACATCATACACATTTGGTTGAGTTGCGTTGGTCATATTTTATTCATTATCGGCTAGATACACCGAAACCATCATGAGATATTTCACAGGAAAAAGAACGTATACATTACACTAAGTCACATTTACAGCATTAAATGTAAAAACCAACTGGGTTATTTAACTACTTGTGGATGAAAAACAATTAGATTGATTTTTAATCATCAACCTGATGATAAACGTCTTAACTACTGACTAAAATTTATGTTAAAATTTTCTGTCGTTATTCCATTACAAGCTTTCGTATCTTGGGCACGATATATAAGTAGATTTTGATTTCAAAACACAGACAGAAATCTATGAATCTCTTTTAATTTAAACTGAGCTTGTTATTCCTATAGTGCTTCTACTTTCTCATTGTAAACCAGAAATTTGGTTTTATTATTACAGATTAAGTAAGACATTGAATGTTACCTTACGTTTGTTGTTATTATAGAATCTCTTAACTACGTGTGTCATCCTGCATGCAAGAAGGAGTATGGATGCTGGGGACCAGGACCAGATCAGTGTGTTCGCTGCTCATATCGTAGAGCGGGATTATATACATGCGTTCAATCATGTAGTAACTTAACAGGATATATGTCTGAACAATGGGAAAAACAACTCCAAATGTCTAACAAGAAGAATGACTATTTTGGCAATTCTCTGACTAAAAATTTTCACCTAAATTACCATACAGCAGAAACTGAGTATGTTTGTGTCCCGTGTCATCCAGAGTGCGGCAAATCCTGTACAGGACCTGGTGCTCATGAGTGTATTGGATCATGTAAAACAGCTTGGGTAAGTTTAACACAACAGTTACCCATACCGAAAATTTCTCCATCTTCTTTTGATCACCACACTGTAAATATATTAAGATTACAATAAAAAATTCTATTGTTGTTGTTTCTTGGCTGCTTAACTGTGGGGAGCGACTTTTTTTGTTAACTGAAATGTGGACTGGAGATAGTTCTGGATAACCATACAGGAGCCTATCAGTTTATTCACTTAATTGAAATAAGTGGAGCCAACAAACGATATAAATGAGATTACTTAATATACTTCATTTGGTTTTTATTTTTGAAATACTGAATTTATTTAACATGGCATATGATAGTCATTTCCTTTACACTTTCATCATTATCAAAATTAGGATTGATTTGAGACAAACTTAACCCGGAATTCGTTTTAAGCACTGACAGTACTATCTTTTTAAACTTTTATTTTTCAATAAAAACATCTTCAGTCAGAAGGTCGGTGTGTTTCAGAATGTCATTCAAACACTTATCTAAATATAGACAGAAGAATTTGTGAGCCATGTCAGACACATTGTCATCAACGTCAGTTAACAAAACAGCCGGTATGCACTGGTCCTGGTCGTCATCCAGGAAAAGGAGGGTGTAATAAATGCGAGAAATTTGTTGTACAGTCACATTTCAATCAGATGAATACGGAAATATCAGGTTAGTTTAATTTATACTAGATAGTTTTTTTACCTAATATTTCTGAACAATATGCATCAGAATTAATGATATTTGGTCCGTTAACTGAACATTCATCCCAATAGCTTTTAGAGCGTTTGGGCCTATGTCATGAACCAATACTGGTTGATAACCATTTGAAAGAATAACATGTGATACCGAATCTTAGTTATATTTCTCCTAATCCACTGATTTAACTTAAGACTGTTTCAAGCACTATCTGAAGCAGCATCTGAAGATAAGATTTATTAAATTCGAACCGTAATCATACCATAGATTATGCTTTTCTGTTCACAGGAATGAGAATTTAATATGCTAATTGCTAAACCACTCGAAAAGATTAGTACTTTTGTGGTGTGTGCTATTGATGTTGATAGATATAAGTAGTATGTATCATCAGTCGAAAGTGAAGTACCTGGCAGCAAAAGATTAAGAAAACCGATGAAAAGAGGACAAGAACATTGAAAGATGGCTGTTAAAAATCAAGAAACAGTAAAGTTTGAGATGATTTATTGACATTTTGCAAATTAAGTATTTACTGTATGGTTTTCAGATTTTACTAAGATGTTCTGTAATTCGATTGTCTCCCCTTATGTTCCCATTCACTACACTTTGATTATTTCAATAAATAATTTTCCAGTTGCTGCAACTTCAGAAAAATGATAACCACATACAACAAACTTTATTCAAAATGATGGTTGGCTATACAAATTATGAATTGTTTGCTCTACTGAAACGTTAAATAATCTAAAACAAATATATTTTGGAGTTATTTTAAAAACCCTCAGCATTTTTTCCAGATTTTATTTTTTTTTACAACAATTAGCTTGCTATGCATCAGAGGAGATTGTCCACCGGGAACTTATTTAACAACTGAAGTGGTTCAACCGAACACTTTGTTTGCGAAGTACGCTGAAATATTCACAAGTGTTGCTGCAGTATGTCGATCATGTCATCCAAGGTGCCCAATGTGTACAGCATACAGCCTCCTAAGAGCTAATGAACAACGTTTAGGATGCATGAAGTGTAGTGGATTTTGGCTGAGAGATGCTTGCGTAGAACACTGTCCTGTAGGTAAGTACTGCAAATGTCTCCCTCATATTTTATAATACTACAGTGGTTGAGATAGTGGAGAACATTTGTAGTTCGGGTGGATGATTTTGGTGGAGTTCTGTTTTCTAAGCTTGATGGTTTAGTCATGTAGCTTTTATTGCTCATATGAACAATATCATCAGCACAAACTTCGAGTAGAAATAGACTTCACCTTATCTTAATGATATTGGAGTGAAGTTGTTCAGAAGAATAATGAAAGCTCTAAGAATAGACCATACAGCTCAGAGAACGGAACTCTACTAAAAACGACAACGGATGAGTCATCATTCCGAAAAGTCTTCAGGGATTGCGTTCTTATTCTTATTAAAACCTTTTGAAACGATGAAAGCGTTTTTAATTTTACAATAAAAATTGTGTATTTTTAAAATCGTGAATAGATTTTGCCTGACTCCCAAAGGAGATATTCCAAGTAGGTTGCATGCTAACGCTATTTTCGTGTTCCTGTGGCTCACTTGGTTTGTAGATTTTTATAAGCAGCGGGATTATTAGAATGTTTTATGTAGCCTCCTTATTCAACGAAATAAGTTTGTATTAAATTTTCTCATTTTCACTGGAGAGGTTTTTACAAACGTGATTGCCTTTTTAATATCATCTTTAACTCTGAGCTCAACTGTTGTGAAATTGTTTGTTTAAATGTGGACAAAATTCTGATAAAATACGTATTACTGTGGTTTATAATCAATTCAAGAAAATAGTTTATAAGCTTTGAAGTAATCGTATCTTAACTTTGAAGCTTATTAATAATTTTGTCCTCTTACTCATAAAGAACAAACCTACGCAATATGGATTAAGACTAATCATAATGTATCCAGAAATTCTTCAGAAAAGCACTTAAATTTAAAAGACGTCAATTTGAAATACAATGGCATTTATGTGCGACATTTAAATGGACAGTGTTTAGCCTGTCATGAGCAATGTCATGCTGGATGTTGGGGTCCTGGACCAGATCAGTGCAACCATTGTCTTAACGTCAAAGTACCTATCCGATTTATATCTAATAATCTTACTAAAGTTTACGGACTGGATCAGTTTTCAGGAGATGATCTATCAGTAAGTCTAACTTCATAAGTAAGGTTTTTTAGTTTATTATTGTCTAAAACGTTTAACTTGACTGAATGTTTTGTGTGTAACTCTGCATGACTGAGTTGTGGTGCTATAAGGCTTCTTATTTATTGATATTTGAACCAGTAATCGATTTCTTGAAATCAGATAAATTATGAACTGCGAAGATGCCTTTATCTTAGCAAAATAAGGATTTAAAAAAATAATTGTAAATTCCTCGTATTATGTGAGCTAATTCTTCGAAGAACAAAATAACCAATACTGTACGCCCATATATTATATCTAGAAAAACATGTTATTGTTACTGACCAAATATAAGAGCAGTAACTAAGAACAGTTGTTTTTAAAAGGCTTTCAAAATCGATATAATACTAAAGTATGATAATGAATTTCAGTATTGTGATATTTCCATATTTATCTGTTGTCATTTCATAAGCTTTTAGTTTATGAGTGATTTATTGTTTAAGAGTTTAGCAATTTGTAAAATCATTTTAAAATAGTTTGGATTTAACTAATATGAACTCTCAGTGGAAAACCGTACCGGCAGACAAAAACTAAAGACTGCTTTTCTGGTTTTCTTTCTGAAAATTACTTCATATAACTTTTTTAAAAAATCACCCTAGCTTTATCGAGCTAGGTTTATTTGACAGATTTTGAATAATATCTTTATTTCTTAAAGATTTCAACTCCACTAACCTTGTGTGACCCCTCGAATAACACCGTTCTCACATTAAATTCATTCTTGAGATCAAAATGAGTAAAAAATTGGTTTTAGGTTTTCTAGGTAAGAAGAATGTTTGAGTGAGGTCCTGAGTTTAAGCTTTATTCACAAAATCGTAAATTCATACTTTAGATTTCACTCAATGCTTGCATTTTGTAAAGAAGTTTCTATTATCCTATCGGCTGAACTTGCTACCAATATATAACAAAATGAGAAAATAATATTGCAATACTTAGTTTGCTCTTTAGTACCTAAAGGTTAAAAATCATTCTCACAATCACGTTTTGTAGGTATCATCTTCAATTACAAGCAAACATAAAAGGTGCCTAGCAGTGAAATCCAGGACGCGCGTCTTGTCTTACTTGAGACTCGACAGCTGGACTTACCTGCATCCCGGATTTTTCGTCCATTCCAGGACTCGACCTTAGTACCGCTTGCATCAAACCCCACCACGTTGTCCACTTAGCTACTGAGTCCTGATTGCCACAAACTTGTGTAATGTGATAAAATTTTGATTCATCGTTGTATTGAATCTTCTCATTGATTGTTAGGACTGTAATTGCACAGTCTCTTATTGGCATATGTGCATCTTATGCGGACTGCCTTGATAGTGCCTTACGTCACAAGCATTATAAGCAATGATAGATAGTGGCTATAAGTGGAATACAGGACGCGCGTTTCGTTCTTTTCGGGATTCGTCAGCTAGATGCACCAATATCGATGCACATATGACATTGAGACTGATCAGTTGTAGTCCTAAACATCAATGGAAAGATCCAAACACAATACAAAAATGAACTATTATCTTAATTTGTTGAATTTACTTGTCATTTTTGGATTTATGTTATTTATCGGTAGATCTCTACTCACCTTCAGGTTGACTGTAGCAAATTCAATAAAAACTGAAGACTCAGGTATAAATATCCCACAGTAATTATAGTCATTCAGTATGAATACAGCAAATATTTTTAAAAATCATATTCAATACAACAGCAGTAAATATAATATTCAGATTACCTATTAAATCATTTTGTATTGATCAGATTTAAACTTTTCATAAATACTGAGCTTAATACCTTCAGCCCGTAAGTTTTAAAAGATCTTGCCATAGCACGTGGAAAAAACCCATAATATCTAGTAGACTTAGAAAAAGACGTGATGCGTTTTGACCAATAAAATGAACTGTTTTTCATATTATCAGGTTGCAAAAGATAATGTTTTTGTTTTATAAATATGATTCTATATAAGTTTTAATGAGGATCTTTCTCATTTAGTGAGTTGGAATTACGTGTACAGTAGGAGTAATTACTTTGATAATCATGATATTAGGATAAGGTTTCATTCTTTGAGCTGGAAGTTTGATTGGGAATCTGTCATCGTCCATCAGGACAAGATTATCGACACAAACTTCAGTTGGAAGTGTGCCATTCGAATAACGTTGTTCAAAAGGACGGAAGCTTCACTATTAAACTATCCAGCTCTGATAATGAGACTCCCGCAAAATCATCCATCTGAATTACTCGATACTTTATTGATTAATTAATAGACAAGGTACTTATCAGGTTTATTGTATTTTTTGCATACTTGAAAGTCATTATCAGCAAAATGGTTGAGGTTTATTCTCCTGGCTCAACTAGGTTGAATCGCTATTAGTTCACGAAGAAATAAGATGAACTCAGTGGACGTATGTCGTATAGCATGATGTATGCATCCCACTATTAATTATTTGATACTATTTGTTACATATTACGGTTGGTCAAAACAGCTGATTAAAATTCGTTGTTAGCGAAGTGAAAATGTATCAACAGTTATTTAGTTAGTATGTTGCTAGTAATTACTGTTTTTTATAATAACTGCTGCATCCCATGTTCGATCATTGATATTCAGGGTAACATCTCATTTTAATCACAAGTGTCCAAGTTGTTGAGTGATTTTAACCTTCGGTTACAAACCTCATCGATGATCAACCAACCAAGACTACTAGGACTTGCAGGTACGTTCAGCGTTGCCACGATTCCCACAATAAACTTGTTTGTAACTACGTAGATAGTACGGTATTCTACAGCACAGTATTCTACATTTTTGTGCTTTTATTTTTATTAACTAAAAGCCGCAGAATCTATTCTATGGCTAACTAGTTATAATATGTTACAAAATGAATGCATTCATTCTTCAGTGTCGAAGTTTCAGAATCTAGAATGCTTTGTAACAGCACACAAACCGAAATAACGAGAAAGTAAGACGATATTAATGAGAAACAAATGCAGGCTAAAAGTGCACATAAAATGAATTGTTGTGGGGTAACGAGTCATTCACTCCATACCTCTAGCCATTGACTTCTATCGTTTCAGCGATTTTGTACAAATAACCTACACTTCCGTATACTACTCAGCCCGGAGGACAGAACGTACTCTCATAATCTTCTGGCTTGCACTTTTCAGACTATAATGTATCTTTGGCTAATCTAAAACGAATCCAGTTTTTCTTTTTTTCACTGATTGGAAAATACACATTTCTAATGATAGTAAAGTGAACCCATTTGGTTATGTACACTAGAATCCAAGTTAACTTATATGTACAGTTAGTTATTTGTAGCCCAGTCCTTATGTATTTCAGTCAGTGCAGACTCATAATTTTATTGAGTTTCGCCTATTTTCGGCTAAATTTTAGAGTTTGATATATCCAATAGTTGAAATATTTTTACATTATACCACCAAATAATTTTCGATACATGTATCATCAAAGAAATTTGCGTATTCCAACCACAAAATCATTAATTTAATGGGGTGAATTCATCTGAATTCATATGTTACGGCTTAATATTATTTGCTCAAAGCCATTAGAAGTAATCAGCTTGGTTGACTGATATGAAATGATAGGAAGAAGGAGAACATATCCTTCATTTTAAATTTCCATCTTGAATTTTAGCCGAGAATCAGTTTGTTAATCATTTCTGTTTTCATGACTATTGCCTCTTAATGTTTATCAAAGAAGTGCAAATGACTGAAACGTTAATTAACAGTTCCTTTTACCACATGTAAGGTATTGGATGGAAAATTTTGCGAATGAGTAGAATTTTTATTGAAATCTCATCAGATTTTGTAGAATATCAGATATTTAATGTACTTTCATTGAAGTCACCATCAATAACCATCAATGCACAATTGTTCGGGGTTCTATGTTCATAATGTCTGTCAGTCTATTGATAGATAAGATTTTCCTCTTTATCTAAACATATATTTCCTTTCTAGATTGAATTGAACAGTCTAAATTTACATCTATACCATGGGAGATTCATCTGCTTACCTCAATGTCCAAATGATTTATACAATCATATAATTAATATACCTGAAATGGAAGGTGAAACAATATGTCATCATAGTACATATTTAAGTACTAGTGATTATGAACTGATAATTCAGGACAATGTGTATCCATTTCAATACTTTAATAATTATCCATTTTCAAATAACAATCAACAATTGGAGCAAGGAACGTCTGCAGGAATTATCGGACTAAGAAAGTCTTCATCTTACTTTTCATCGGTTAACGGTAGTATTATGCATCGTAAACTAAAAAATGATCCAGTAATATTAATTATGATACCACTATGTATTGTATTAATCGTATTTGCTGTACTAGTTTTTATATGCTATCGTTATCGTTCAAATCAACAATACATCAAAAAATATGAACACAGTCCACTGTTATTGTTGAAATTATTGTTTTGCCCACTATCATTTATTTCTAAGCGTTTTGTTTCCGATATAAGCAATTATAAATATAAAAAAGGTAATCCTGTCATAAATTTATCTCTTACGAATTGTCATTACAAGAATAGAAATGATGAAAGTGGTACTGAAACTAATTTAATGCAATATCCAGGCACAGAGGAAAGTTTATTAGGAAGATCTAGTGTAACAGGTTCCCATCGATATCCAAATCAGGTACGTTGTTTACCGATTTTATTCATTGAATTATTTTATTCCAATATGAAAGCATTTCTTAGTGTTAGGAAATATGAAGCAGTCCATCGTAAACTAGTGAGTGAATGGGATCATGCCCACTGCAAAATATGACAAACCTGGTTCTTTTTTCGATAGGCCATCACTTTACCACCGAGTTAATCCATGATTGTATGAAACAGTAGTCGAGTAATTACTAGTTGGTTTTGATGTAATGAAAACTATTCACATTAAGAATCACCCTTAGGTTAGTTTCTATCTATCCAGAATGGATATACCATACACTTAAAATATTTTTTCAAGACGATATTGTCTTTGGATAGAGCTACACAACTCAAAGGTGGCCTTTGACATAAAGTGAAAACAAATTATCACAGTCAGCTACTTTTAGTGACATTTCAATGGTTTATGAACCTGATCTTCAAACCTTTGTAACTTGCTCAATTTTAAACGGTTGGACAGTAACGCTATCTTTCAAACAATAACTGTGATTTAAAGTCAAGCTCAAAACATCCACTAAGTTATTAAATAACGGTCTACCATTCCATAATAATTCATTACTGTTACGCAGGTAGTACGCGCAGACTGACAAAAGTAAAATAGTATTTGATCACTTCTAAGTTTCCTTACTAAGGTTCAACTTGATAACCAAAAAAACGGAATAATGGACGGGTTGTTTATAATAATAAAACAATAGTATGTTTTTAATATCCTAACAAGTAGAAAATTGAATTTCTGATGTTTTCTGATTCAGTGTTATTCGGTTCTTCAGTGAACAAATAATCGGGCTGAAATAACTTATTGTACATGCTTTTTATTGTGAACTGTACTATTGTTATAAAAAATACCAACAACCAGTTTTTACTGGTCTAAGAAATGAAGATAATCCCACTGAACTAAATTGAGCACACTTTATTATTTCGTGATTGATCATTTCTTCCATACGAATTAGATTGTGAACGGACAGAAAGCACCGAATCTAGGTAGATTAGTCATGATCAACCTGGATGACTTATGCCTAAATGAAAAATCTGGTCCCTTGGGGACAGGTGCATTCGGAGCAGTCTACCAAGGTATTTGGAAAGTATGCCAAACTGATTATCCAAATTTACCAAATATAAATTATGTGATTACAGCGAATAATGAAGAGGAGTTAATGCTTAAAGTTAATTCACAAAGCTCCCGCTCTTTGTTGACAACTCCAACTCCAATGAATGAAATGAACGTGGTGTCTACAAATCAAATAGATTCCAGTAATATTCAAGCAAATGAAGTGCACACGTCAGCTACAGAGCAATCATCAGTTATAAACCAGAAGAACAATAATACTAACGAAGATAACAGTCAAACTAGTCATAGCGTTACTACAACATCTAAAGCATCGACAGAGAAATCTAAAAAGGAATACAAACTACTATGCGTTGCTGTGAAAATTTTGAATGAAGTTCGCGGGTCAAGTGATCTACAAGCACTACTGGACGAAGCAAAAGTAAGTCTGAGGTGTTCATATCCTGGGAACTCACGGATCTCTCTCTTTTTTGTCAGTTTAACATAACTTTTTATCGACAAGGTGATAAGTTTAAGAGCTCTTCTGTGTACTGAATTTTTCTGTCGGAACACGAAGACAATGCTCCTGTGTAGATACAAATAAATGTGCAACGTAATATAGACATACTTAAGTCAGTCTATAATAAAATTCTGAAGCTTGGTCAGTTTTGCTCTATTTGTTGATGCAAAAGCCTTATTTAATTTAAGTCTTCACTTTGCTAATACAATAAGTCAAATGTATCTGCTTTGAACTTTATTGTCATTCAGGTTATAGCTATCTTTCTAACACATTATTTGACAATAATGAATGAATAGCCATCATTTTTCACAATTATCTACCTCAGTTTGTAATGACGACGAAACGTTATAGATCAGAACATGTTTCCTTTACCATATTGTTTAATCGAAATAGTTTTTGATTTAAGTTCAACTATTATCAATGTTCTTTGAATTTCAATTATCTGAAAGAATTGGTTGTTGCATTTATCTCACATGTTAAAAATATAATAAGTGAGATCATCAGCAAAATATTTTTGTGTAGGAGATACATGTAAGAAACACTAGTCATATATGATAAGGAGTTTCATATGACTCAGTTATTAAATAAAGTCAATAACATACAGAATGATATCGTACTCCCTATTCTTAGGTAGAGTTTTGACCCGAAAGGAGTATAGAACTATAAAACGATCAGTTCATAGGAAGGCAATCTGGACTGGAAAAAATCTAGACTGCCACAGCTTCTGTGCGCTTTATTGCGAGCGAGGATCGGTAAATTGCGACCGCAACTAAACGTCAATGTTCTACTCCAAACAATTTACTTTGGGCAGCCGAGTAGTACTGTTAGTCCTCATATATAATAATTGGCTACTAGACAAGTACAGAAACCTATTATTGGCAGATGAGCAACTCAAAATAAATATATTACGTCGATTCGACAATAACTAGACGGATTATCAACTATATACAACGTCAATTAAATGCTATATATATGAGCAACTAAATGAGCCTTGATATCGTAACGCAGAACGCCCTGAGTCACCAAACTATTTACCAATGCCAAATTTTAACATTTTTATGTAGCGTCAAGAATTCCGTATAACACGGAACACTAATTATTTATGTTGAACACCATCACGCAAAGGTAACCAGCATATGAAAAATTTATTTGCTTGTATATTGATAGAACCTTTAACTACGTCCACTACAGTTTCCACTAATTATTTGGCTACTTAATCTTAAGTTAAATACACTTAATGCACAAAAGTTCTGTGTAAAATAACATGTTTTCAACAACTAAGCAAAATTGTCACCCACAACTTAAACATATATGGCAAGCTGTTTTAGACCACACCCTCTGTGTGTAATTTTTCTCCAAAAGATAAAAAATAAACCATTAATAAATATTCACTTCTGTATTTCAGGTTATGGCGTCTGTCTCTCACTATCACTGCCTCCCACTTCTTGGAATATGTTTATCTCAATCAAGAAAATGCTTAGTTTCAGCTTACGTAGTAAATGGAAGTCTAGATCGTTATCTAAGACTGCGTGCCCCAAATATTGACTCCTCAACTCTTTTAGATTGGGCATCTCAGATTGCCGATGGAATGGCATACTTACAATCTCGGGGAATTATCCATCGGTGAGTAATTTTTTAATTGTAACACGCCACTTGTCAGGTAGTTTCATTTTACGGCTGTTTGTCGTAAAATAATCATTTGAGGTTTCTTGTTAGTTTGTGAAAACAAATTTCAACGTTCATGCATTATCGAACTCATCGTTTGAGATGACTTAAAAAACCACACAATGTGTAAAATTGCTTTCACATGGCGCTAGTTCCCTTCAGTTAACATTCTTTTCTATCCGTTAAACATCCGCTCGTTTTATCCTATACTATAAATACCTCTAATTAATTCATATTCTCATAAAGATCTTGTAAAGTAATAAAAAAATCTTTAATGGTGTAGTTTCGTCCTTAGTCTTTGGTTCGGATAATTTCTAGCCTGTCAAGCGGTTCATTTCTATAAGTATTTATTTTGAACTTCATTACCAAATGAACTCCATGATTTCCCTTAAAATACTAACATAAGTAAATTAACGAATACTTCTAACCTGCAAGTTGGAGTTCAAATTGGTATCAAATAAGGATCAAAATAGAAAATTACTACATCCATACATGATCCCTCATAAATTTGAAGGTATATTCATTAAGTTATCAAATATATAACTTCAATCACATCTAATATCAACTAAGTAACCTCGTAATATAATTTTGTAAATTTCAGTGATTTGGCTACTCGAAATGTCCTAGTTACATCACCAGAACATCTACAAATTACAGATTTTGGTTTAGCAAAAATGCTGGAAAGTGAAGAAGAAGCTAAACGTAACGAAGTAATTGTTTGTTCGGGACGCGTTCCTATCCGTTGGTTAGCCTGTGAAACACTGACTCATCGTATTTACTCATTCAAAACTGATGTTTGGGCGTACGGTAAGTAAACATCCAGATCAAATTCATCAAATTCTGTGAGATAGATTCCAATAAAAAAATACGTGATATTTTTTAAGCAATAAACAACAAATAATATGAAAACCTAGGCATGTAAATAAACAAATCGTGCTCCACACTGATAAAGTCATTCAGATTTTCTTGACATTTCTATTTAATTTTAAATCATTATGCTCATTACGAAGATTATTAAGCTACTATACCATTCATCTACTAGCTGATATACATGCTCTGTATGAATAAATACTTAATCAGGACGAACTAATTAGACGAAAATAATCTCAATAGTTCTATGGCTTATCAAAATTTCTACACTACGAAACCATATGAAACCGAAGATTAATGAAAGACATATGTTCATTTGTTTTTACGTATACAACTGCTTATTTCATTCTTGAAAATGTCCCTAACGGGAAATAATAACCAACACATAAGGTGCAAAATATTCTCTTCGTTGCTCGTTAGATTAGTACGTAATATTCTGGAGTATAAAGTGAACGATAGTTATAATCAAATTCCAAATAAATCACATACTAAAATACGAAGGTAACTGAATGATGAGCTCCAAATAATACAAAATATTCATCTTAAAATTCCCTAGTAGCCATTACTAAATAAAATGATTCAATTCAAATAGGTTGTTACCAAATGTATTGGAAATATTTTTATTACTATATTTGAAATAGAGTTTATTTTCATGGGAACTTTTATTTTCTTTTATTGCAGTGTAAAATTATACATAAATATTTTTGAACACAATATTTATCGACTAGTGTAATTTGACTGAAACCGACCATAAGAACGGAAATAAGTTAGATCTTTATGTTGAAATGATGAGTTTCTGATAATTTTAAACTAAGGATAACAACTAGGCATTCTAAACTCAAGATTTTGATTCTTATTAACTTTGTAAATGTGAAAATTTGGAGATTACAAACGTGAATTTTGTAACAATTTCTAACATTTACTTCGCATATTTTAGGTGTCACTATTTGGGAGATTTTCACATTTGGGGATAAACCATTTGATCGTATAGAAACGGCCAACGTAAAAGATCATGTTTTAGCAGGTAGACGTCTTCCACAACCAGATATATGCACACTCGAACTATATCAAGTTATGTTAAATTGTAAGTTCACTTAAAATGTCATTACACAAAGCTCATTATTTCAAACTAAATTTCTAAGGCTCACTACAGTCAAGTAATGTTAACCAATAAATAATTCCGTTAAAATAAGTAAGAAGGCCAGTCATAAAAATCATTGAAATTATCCGAAAATAGTTGTCTTACTTGGAATTAGATAATCCAAGTTTTATTTATTGAGAGTAAATAATCAGAATTATACAGTTCAGTATCTTACAGCTAAAAATACACTCCGTAAATAATCTCTATTTTTGCTCTAATCGACTGGCTACATAAAAAAATTTAAAATTAACAATTGTTATGCATAGTTAATAAATTTCTTTTAGACTAATTGGGTAGCACTGTAACTACTAAAACACATAAAAACTTACTTTCAGTATAGATAGAAGGATAATCATATAATTACAGAATCGTTTTTTTATTCTATACTAAAGTAATTACATTACAAGCTATGCATCTGTGTCATACTGGACAGACCATAGTTATTGGTTCACTTGATATTCAAAGTCTAAAATAAATTTTCTGTTCTAAAACTCCACTTAATCATTCTGAGTATCTTGAGATTTCCTTATATTGAATATTATAACAACCTGCCATGAAGCATATTTGTTGAAAACTGTAAACATTGATAGGTCGCCAATACACGAATATTGAAGTTTATTTACCGCAAAGCAGAAACAATCAACTTTTATAGATTTTGTAATATCGGAAAGCTTTATACTCTTTCATTTATATTCTATAATGTAGTCCTTGTGTATTTCATCATTTCATCATATTTATTCATTCTGTGTACAATTACTAATTGCGGCATAAATTGTTAATGTAATTTTTCGAGACCAAAGGTAGGCTAATATTTCGTTTCTAAGCAAATAAATGCAGTTCATCTTATTTAGGTGTTCGCTAAATAGATTTCCATGAATATTTAAGATAAACAAACTCCCCAGGAGTTTACCGATAGACAAAAGAACATTAAAGTGGAAAGTAATATTCACTTTTTTCATTTCATTAAGTAATTTAATAATAGTTTCTAAACTTTGTCTTCTGGTAGGTTGGAATGAAAATCCTGATGCTCGACCAAATTTCGTAGAACTGTATAACATGTTTAAGGATTTCGCACGTCAACCACATCTTTATCTTCATTCCAGAGTAAGATTCTATATTTTCTGATGAATTGTATTTTTACACTTAGTAACAACCTTTTAGAGCCTTTCTAAAAAGCATTTCATTACTACTTTGAAAACATCATCAACGTGGTTTTACTAATATGATTCAATAACTCCACGTTGATAATTCTATATAATAAATAAATGTATCTAAGGGAAAACGGCACTTTACCTTTAAATTTATTTCGGTTTACTTTTGTTTCTTCATGTGCTCCTACAGGCTGATAGGCATGTGTTAAATTGTAGCTAAAAAGAAATGCGGGTTTATGCATCCCATTTTCAATATCCAATAACTATGCCCTGCTCGTCTTTTCCAGTCGTTTTTCTGTTCATTTAGTGGGTGAGTGGTTATATAAGTTTGTAATTTTCACTGGATATTTCATTTAAAGATTTAATAATCACCATATTCGTGCTTGTTATTGAATATGTTGGGATGCGATGACGTTTTCATAGCAGACAGATGGGGATAACTTTAGATGCTTAAAATAAAATCTTCATTCGGAATTATACTCATATGCGGCACCTGCCTACCAAATGAATGAGCAAACGCCGAAAAATGTTGGATACGCAACATTTATTGAGCAGGGAAACACGGATAGATGACCTTACACAAAATATAATACTCACCTGCAACCTGAAATTATAACTATTTTACAATAACATTTGGCATTATCAGTATATCGAAAGAAATTTCTTATAATTACCTGTCATCATGCACAGCTGTCCAACTAAGTGATAAAGAGCTCTTTATGAAACGGAAATAAGACGAATGGAATTTTAAATTTTATAGAAGTGATTTTTCTATGCAGTTGAAATATCTGACTGCTTACTCAACAGTTTTTATATGATCTTTGACATTACAATTGTCTGTCAAATAAAATATCGTTCTCGTCTAGTGTCAAGGAATTCGGCCTACTATATTATAGCTTCATATAAAGAAAAAGACATTAAACAGTGCACTGCACGAACTTTATTTCTGAAATGGAAAAATTATGTATGATGCATAGTTGTCAGTAAAAATTTATTTAAGGTGAATTAACACTTGTGGACTCGAATGCCAAATTATCTTAAGTGATCATGAAATATTTTTGAATAGTGTATAGAAACTCCATGTGACCCATAAACATATATATATATATATATATATATATATATTAACCGAACTGCTACGTTTCATAGATTAATTACTATGATCGTGAAAACAGAAGAGATTGGACTTCTTTGTATTAATCATAGAGCTGAAATCTATATTTTTTCTTGTCAATGCTTTAGTGAAGTGTAAATGGTTTGTCCTAATTTGTTTCAAACAACTCTGTCAAACACAAACATGCACTAAAGTAGTTCGAATGTTTCTTGTTAGTGAGATAATTAACAGCTGAACTTCTACGTGAGCTCATCTAGCTACAGACAACATATTGAGCTTCGTGTGCTAATTTATTCTAGTCTACAACCACACACTGACTGATAAGTTGCCTGCCAATGTGGCTTAAGATGTAAAGGCTTTTTCATGCGTTAGCTTCCTTGACAAACTATCAAGAAGGTGATTAGTTAATGCAGTGTAGCTTCTTAAGCTTGCTACAATCCACTGACTGGGTGAGCGTTGACTTTATAAATACTGTCAATGTGCAGTTTGTTTAGTATTCCTTTAGTTAAACACATTTTATTTCATTTGTATTCTGTATGGCTTAGTTTTAGAGGACATTTAAGCAAATAAAGACTTTTCAAAATCTTGCACAGTGAAAAGTTTCAAAACGATTGTTCAATGAATATGATCTCTCGCGTTACAATGAGACAAATAGTTTTATACCATAAAGTGGATTAAGTCATTGCATATCTATCTGTATCCAAACCTTAAGGCTTGATATTTGAGTAAAAAGACTTCAATATTTCTTTCCCCGAATAAAAAGTATTTTGCTTTAGAAAATAAACATTTTTTCAATATTTAATAAGTTTAAACTAGTGATATTGTGTTACGTTCATGGTTAAACAAGTTAACGCTCAGATCGCAGTATCTGATATTCATAAATATTAAAACATATAGGATTTTATAGATCATGAGGTGTATGTACATTCATAAAGAAAAAAAGTTAAAGAATAATCATATTTCCATTTTAATCAATTGACTTGTTAAAAATTATTTATAAGTTAATTGTTTATTTGACAAAATCGTTGGTATCTAAATTTTCTTCACTTGATACTTTAGAATGAAAGTAGTTCAAATACGGAAGTGTACAGTAGCACTGGTGACACAAGAAGTCGTGCAACAATTTATCCAACTAGTCGGTTATCTGGTGAACGTTTTCGACAACCAGAACAAACTGTTCCTTCATTTCAGTCAATGAAATGTAGGAGTTCTTGTTCGCCTCTACAAAATTCAAGTTCTAGTAGTGGATTAACAAATCGGCGCTTCGATGTTGGTAGACGTACACGTACTAGTTTATTACTACCTCCAACAGTCCTACAAGCTAATCGTACTGGGAAATATCCGCGACATAAACGACGTAGTGTTGGAGCTCGCACTGACTACACAATGTCAGCATCCATAAGTATAAACTCTGGGATTGGTGAGCGTTGGGGTAATTCATCGTTTGCTACGCACAGTCACCCAACGTTAATTAAAGTTGATGAAGCAAATGGAACAGGAAATATTAGCCATAATTTTAAGATAAATAGCAATACATCTGGAAATAATCGGAATAATGAACAGTTTAATGTTGGCTTGTTTTCAACTGATTCATGGGCAAGTAGTGGACAACCCTTATTATCAAGTGACCAAGAAAGTTCATTAAGCCATCTAATGTTGTCGAATTTCGGTTACACAAGTAGTGAAAGCAGAAGCAGTATGACAGTCAACTCCCCTGGCCAACATAATCGAAATTTTTCATCAACAGGTTCATCAGTTCCAACGGAATCAAGAAACTCAGAACAGCAATCTGTAGATGAACCCACGTCGAACACACAGAGAATAGGACTTGACATGAGAAGTGGTCTTCCAGTCAATACATCATTCGAGGCTGCTGCAGGGTATGTATGGCCTCAGTGGCCCGATGCCATTCCTAATCCAGAAAATAACAATTTAGACCAGGCTAATTCAAGTGAAATTTCTTATGTCTTTAACGCAGTCGATTCAGAATCAGAAAACAATTTACCATTCCTTAACCGTCAACTTTGGCTTCGACGTAATGCTCGTCGACGGCGTTATTATCTTAGACAACTGCAGATTCACAGAAGCGTTGCTGATTCCAGCTTGCCAGAACAAGCAGGTGAAGATGCTATGGAGGAAACTTCAAGTTGGGCAGAACCCTTGGGATCAAATCAGAGTAATCCAAATGGGCAACAAGAAGATAGTGATAGTGATCCAGGTTCTGCTGATCGATACTGGCCCGATCCAACATATTCTTCACAAAACGTGTAGCGTTATACTAGTTTACTTTTTTCTAACTTTATATCTTTTTATGAGCGATTTTATAATCACATTTTAAGTTTAAAATGCCTTTTCTAATTCATGATCTCATCAGATACAAAAAAACCTATCAAGTGTCAACATTTCGAAATGTGTAAATACCTCATCCATATTTACTTTCGGTTAAAATGAATATATTATAAACTGACTTTGTGCTTTAACTAGCGACTATGCCATTTTCGCAACTGATTGCATAAAATTAAAACTCATTCTTTTTGTAAATGTATCTTTCTGTGTGTTTAGGTTCATAATATTTATTTACCAATCCCTAAAAAACAACATGTTTATGAAGAATGACTTTATCTGTATTGTAAACTAACTAAGTTTACCGTAGTATGCATGGTTAAGAGTTATTACATGCTAAAATCAACGCGTTAGTTTCTTAAAGTTTCAAAGATATGGGTGGAGAAAATATAATGACTTGTTTAAAAGATAACTGTGTTTTAATTATTTATGAGCAGTTGATTTCAAACAAGTAAATATAATCAGAATGAGATGAACCTTACAAGAACTATAAAAGAGAATTAGTTTTCAGAAAGTAGAGAATATTTTAACGATTCTCTTTTAGTTGTTCTAGCACAAGATGTTTATCAGTATAGGGTTGTGGGAGTTGTTGAGTTTCATTGAAATCATAGACCAGTCAATGTTGGACCACCATTGAAAACCTGTAAGTAATAGACGACCGATTCCTCCTCAGCAGTGCGCATCCACGACACTGCACGTGGGAATCAAACTCAGGACTTACAGTCTCGCGTGTTAACGCTTAACCCCTAGACCACTGAGTTGGCATCCAGTGATGTCTGATTTCAATTAATCCACAATATTGCGCGACCATCTTCAATTGTCTTCGGTGGGCATCTGCCTCACATCTGACACGACTGAACTCCACTGGTTACAGCATCTCACTAGAACAATAAGAATTCTCTTTCGAAGCTAGTCCCTAGTGATCACACGATAATTATCAGTATAGGGTTGTGGAGGTTGTTGATTTTCATGTTTGGTGGTGAAAAAAAGACCTTCTGTGAAGTCCTACGGAAAAAAACATCTGTAGTATGGGAGTTGAAAGTGAACATAAATTGAGCGGAATCAGTTTGACAGAGTTCACACATCAATCATAAAATCTAGTGGTTTGGTAGTGAATAAGATCTTAGGTGGGAACGACCAAATTATTGTTTAATACAGAATTACGGAATGTTTCGGTAAAATATGAGAACCATACAATAAATACTTCATTTGCAAATCTATCAATCGTCCTTCACATTCTGTATGCTTCTCCCAATTCACAATTCCTCTCTATTTCCTCTTCTGTTTTCTTCAACGTGATCTTCATAGCCCTCTGCTGCCAGGTTTTCCACTTTCGATTAGTGTTATATACTACTTATTTCGATCGACATAAGTAGCACATATTACGCTTATCTCCCCCCTTTAGACGGTCGCTCTTGTGGTTGTTCTGCTGGATGTGCCACGACATCCATCAAAGTGTCGTGTCCTCTGGTACTCTGACCTCTATAGCAATGTCGACATGCCGGGCCATCTACCTCCGATGTCCACCCAGCAGCCGCACGTCCCACTGCGTCTCTCCTTAAACAGCAACCGCCGAATCGCCAGAACACTCCACTCGACGTCACCTTGTGTCTGTCGATATACGTAGCATACACCACACTACTACGGAAAGTCACGTAGTAGTAAATTTAATAGGTCTTTTATGGTATACTCAAAAATTAAACAAAAATTTTAGTGAATTTGAAATACTAAAGATAACGTATTGGGATTATAAATGGAACACTTGTTTTGGTTGGTATAAAAAATTAATTCTTATTTTCCCAAAAATGGATGATAATAGTAGAAATAAAAACCTAATGGATTTTCTCTCACGTCCTTTGGCTTCCATCTATGCATTACATGAGCCATTATTTAGTTTAACTTAAACCACAATATTCTATACAACAGTTATATTTACTACTCATAGTAAAACCTACAAAATGTCATTCTACTTAATCACAGTTCATTTCAAATGAAAATCCAACAAGTTGAGCATTCGGATTTCAAATCGATAGCTACAGTTTTAGAAAGATTCCCTTTGTTTCCTGTTTCTGTTTTCCAGCTCATTTACACAACTGTATTAACTCACTGAAAATCATTTTCCCAAATTGTTTTAGTCTCAAGTTTAACCTCTCGTGGTTCAAGATAGTTTCCATCCGTATAAGTACTCGTATGCCCTCGTATTTAATAAGTGTGACATACTGTTCGCTTCAAATACCACTCAGCTACTGAATCAGATGCCACTATCTTATTCTAAAACAAAGTCTGACTTTTTTAACTCAAGGATTCATCTATAGGTTGAAAAATTCAACTTGAGGTTGCTCAAACCAATCAATGAAGTATCAAGTACAGTCGAACAGCAACAGTATTAATAATTACTTGAATGTTTAAACTATAATAAAGACCCTATGTTATACAAGATATCCATGATCATATTCAGAATATTTGTAGTTGTTGGTTCCAATGGCTTAGAGAGCCTATATCTTGGTGACTGCTATATTGCTGGAAGACACCCTTATGCTTATCGCTTTGGTCGTTTAGCACTCTTAGTCATTTGCTGAAGTCCTATAGTGTGATATGAAGCCAATATACATAATTTGTAGGCACATGCTATTATAACTCACTACAAGCGTTTTTAGAAAACGTGTAACAATGGATACATACTCAGAAGAAATTTTACAAAACTTTGGAATATCTGGAAAAACTTTTTGTTTATCCACAACTTTCAGGTTATAGAAAATCCAAAATACACTATCAGTCAGTATTGTAGTAGAGAATAATTCCCCGAAATTATTAGATTAATTGGTGATTGATATATGATGCTATCATAGTTGGTTTCTTTATCTAATTCATTCATTTATAGTTCAGGGTTCTGTTTAAATCTGTTGTCCAACTCTATTCCTATTTGATCAGTCTAAAAAAAACTTGTTTAATAGTTTAGTGTGCTGTAATACTGAAGCCTGTATATCACCAAGTTGTTTCGAAATATTTGACAAATTTACTACTTGTGGATCCAGTTTGCATTTCATTTTCATTCCAAGAAAATGAAAGTGGTACCTGAAATCGTTGAAGATCTAATGTGAAACTTATGATGGACAAATTAACGCTTACAAATAACTTGATTTGAATAAAGTAAGAACAGTACACATAGCACAGGTTTAAACACAATGTTAATAGTTTACAATCATTTAAAATAACCAGTATTCAAACAACTTTGAATGTACCACGTTAGTCTGAGGCCGTCGTCAATAAAATGTTGAAACCAAACCTGCATATTCTAAAAGAGACGATTGTGAATCTCTCACATCCGTGGTAACTTCTATTTTTCAGTGTTTAGTTAAGTAATATTTCTTTTCTTATTCTCAACAACAAGTTCTCTTTCTTTCCTGGATCTTTTTTAAGGTTTACTTACCCTACTCTGCTAACCTATCCAACTTTACGGTTGTTATTACGAAACTTTGACATCTTTGAAATCTGTTTCCATATATTCTAAAACTTTTGTTGTGCAATTTTCACATTTAATAGCATACGAATGTTCATTCAGTTTATCAATTTAAAATTCTTCCATTCTCCATTAAAATGATATGAAGTATGTAAATTGGTTATACATAATTATTACTAATGTTTCTACGTTGTAAGCAGCTGACGAGAATCCATGAAATAAATGAAATCATCTTATTCTGTTATGCTTAGTGTTTTTGTTTTTGTTCAATTTATTGATGGGAAAACCTTGCATGTAGGTCTTATAAGGTTACTATCGTTCCAAGCCTGAACATGGTAAGAGGGTTGTGAACTGGGTTAACAACCCCATCCCGTAGAAAAAAATCTTGTTAAAAAACGCTAACCAAAATAAACAAATTAAACCATTTAAACTCTGCCCTCAGAGCTGAAGGAAGAATTATGACGCCTCACCGTGCAAGCCGAGATTCTTGAGAAGTCATGAGGCTGATGCCCTTTCTAACAACCACAGCAACAACTTTCATACGTACATGGAATGTCCGGATATTGTGGGAGACGGGAAGGACCAATCAAATAGTAACGAAAATGAGGAGATAAAACTTGACGCTGCTCGCAAGCGGAGAAACCCATTGGACTTAAACTGAACAGCAAAGGATGGATTTAGGAGAGATGCTGTTGTACTCTGGTTACGAAGAGGAAGATGCTCCACACACTCAGGGAGTCGCTCTGATGCTGCCCAATGAAGTACGAAATACGCTTATTAGGTGGAAATCTCATGGACCTAGAATCATCAAATCCTCCTCCAAAACAAAGAAGAGTGAAATCACAGTGAATGTTATCCAGTGTTATACACCCACCAATGATAGAAATGAGGACGATAAAGATCAGTTTAACAAGAGGCTGCAGTCAATCGTAGCAAAGCGCCTTTATTAAAAATGGACGCATGGAAACTGTACTACATGCAGCAGAACTAGTTAAGTGTAGGTTTGAAATATAAAACAATTATTGTCCGAACGTCTATTTTTATGACCCTCACTAGTTATATGAATATAGAGGTTTCTTCATTATGAATCCAAGAGAAACGGTTCTATAGAGTGTAATATCTAATACTGACTTAAAAATCTTGTGAATTTTAATAACATATTTAATATTATTTCCATGACTGACTTCCGAAATCTAAGTTTCCTTTTAATCTGAAGTTATGTCCTTTTTAAAGAAAACATACAAATAAGTGAATTTTAAAGTGTATTTGTCTTGTATTCATTAGAACTTTTGAGACAATTTGTTGAGTGATTTAGCTACTTGTTGGTGAATCAAATTTAATAGTGACTAAAGGTCTTCAAATTGGTAAGTGAACCAGACTCTAAATTACTCACACTTTTGTAAAAAAAATCTATTAACCAGTAAACATGATCGTTAACTAATCAAAATAATCAGCACGTTTCAGAGAAATCGACTAGATTTATTTGATAATGGTGAATTCTCCCCACTATATAGCATATAAAAGGTACTGACAACCACTTTTGATGAGCAACAAATTATCAAGATAACATTGCCTATTTACTCAAATTTTACAAGATTACCGAATGAATCACAAGTCTTTTGCTTACGATCTAACATATAGCCCCCCGATAAAGTTACATGTTATTTAAAAGGTATATTGATGTGATCAGGTGCTTGAATAGTTACCAAGGTTATTTAATTCGTTTAAGGATGCTCATTGGTTAATTGTAAAATCATGTTTTTGTTCAATACAGTGTGTGTACTTAAAAGAACTGATATGGAAGGTTATTTTATATGTGGGTTTGATTAAGCTGATAAATATTCTAAAGTAATATATATTTAGCCTAAAAAATCATTCATTGTAAGTGAGTAGTGAGTATATTTAAAATATAAAACTTAAAATCCGTAGGTCGCTTGATGCTC